ATGCTGATGCAGGACGATTCAATAATCTCAACGAATTCACTACTGACGGTCCTTCCAATGTAGACGTTCCATCAGGTATTTTGAGTCAATCAGTTCACGTTTATAACTATCCCATATTATTGTTGTTGTATACATGTGTTTGATGACATCCATTTTTTACCTTTTTCTCTCTTTTTTTTTTCAAGTTGATCGCGAGGCAGTGGTTAATGAACTGGATGCAAATACAATTCCCGATAGCGTGCAAGTTATTAACTCCATACGTTCTATATATTCAAATATTTTTTATATTGTTCGTTCTGGTTGTATTTAGGTGCTTCATATGTGTTGACTAGGTGTCGGTGGCGATGCGATTACTGACGATCCTGTTGTTGATGCTGGTAGACCAAAAAGGAGTCCCAAGTTTTCCAGCATGGTTAAGTCACCTTTCAATCAAAGGTATATTGACGTGGTCAAGAACCTCGACAACCAGGAAAAGACAGTTGTTAACTGAGTTTTGCAAAAAGCTAACGAGTAAGATTTATGTTGTGCCATTGTGTTATTATTTTATGTAATCAACTTTATTATTCATTATAATTATTTATTATATTTTTGTTGTGTTGATAATATTTTTTTATACACAGCGATGTGATTATATATCAGACCCTGTCACTTGATTATGCTGTGAAGAGAGATGTTGTAGCATGCTTGACACCGAACACGCCAATCTCCGAGGCACTTATTGATTTGTGGGCTCGTATAATGAACAGCAATGAGAAGCTCGGGAGTCGTGGCTCAGTAGCGTGTTTCTTTGCAACCACTCGTCCGTGTAATGAGGTGCAATGTGATATATTTATGATGTATTGGAAGTATACTTATGATATTTGATCTACTTTGTTGTTTCAGTAATATTTACGACAAAAATTTGTGAATATCAGCTATTTTTTAAGGGAAAGAGAAAAAAGGACGTGAATTACAAGAAGTTCGTAGAGAGGCTAGATTCAGATATCGGACGAATGTGTGGACATAACTGGAAGAAAGTTGCATTGGTATCTCGAATTATTGCATTTTAGATCTTGATTATAATGAGTTGTGTTACATTATAACCGTCTGGTCATTTGTTTGAATTACAGTATGTGTTCCCCATGCACTCTGATGGTTTTAGTGGGCTGATTTGTATTTCCCCAGGCGATCAGAAATTATATATATTGGATAGCGCCGGCTTCTGTAAAGATGCCACCATAAGGAAATCTGTCTCGTCTAATGCTACTATCTTGGTAACATATATATTTTCTTGTAGATATTTATTTATTTTATTTATCACGTGACGTCTTTGTTTTGTTTTGTCCTTTTATTGTTTCCGTAGTTCTTTTTTCACGTCTTTGTGTTACATGATAATATGTGTATTTGTTGCAGCGGCAATCTCTCGCCAAATACATGGGACACACGAGTATGTCAAAATCTTCAAAAGCAGTCACACTATCGATGCCGGACTTTGTCGATCTGTCGTGGACCGAAGGTGTCGATGTCGTAGATGCCGGCGTTGTAACGATGCGTCACATGGAGACATTCAAAGGACGCATCACGCCACATTGGAATCCGGACGTGAAGAGGGCTAACAAGCGACAGATCGACCTCATGAGGAGGCGATATTGCTACGTCATTGCATTTGCTCCATTCAACAAGTTGAAAAATGAGAACCTTGCACAATCAAATAGGTTCCAGCTGAAGAAAGGAGATTTCGTGTGACGTGTCATTTGTTGTTTGGACACATTAGTCGTATTGTTGGCATGTTTTGTTTTACTACATGTATGCGTAGGACGTAACGCTTGGTACATCCGTCACCTGATGTTTGATTCTAGCACTATTGTTTTGGATGAATATGTTAGTATCTTGTTATGATTTGATTTCGTCTTTTCTTGGTATGATAGCGCGACAATATATATACATATATATATACATATACAGATGTCTCTGATACGGAACTATTGAGATTACGTGTGTGGTGAACGTGTTGATAAGTGTCGGCATTTAGTTCCGTAAAGTGCAACGAAGTGGTGTATAATGTGCAATGGCATAATGTATAAAGTGCGACTGTGGCGGTGTCGTCATGTTGTAATAACATCAAATTTTACTGTAAGTATATAAGCATATATGTGTTTGTATTAGGTCGTTGTAGTGAATGAAGTCGTAATTGTGTAACCGTATCGGGTGAAAAAAGTGCATCCGTCTGTTACTAGGAGTGCAACGTAATGTTAATAGAAGTGCAACATATTATCAAAAAAATATGCGATATACGCATACATAGTAATTAGTCAATACAACTGAAAAAATACAATGAACAATGAATGTCGTAAAATTCAAGACAACGAGCGAGTGCTATATAGAGCAATATTCGTTAATAAATCGACCACCTGTCTGAACACTGTCCGGATAAAAAAAATAATAATAATTAAAAAAAAAAAAATAAACCA